AGTTAACAAACCTAACACACTCTTGTCCCATATTGCTTTGTCAGCTCCTATCGCCACAGCGTTTAGCAATATACACATCGCAATTGTCTAGGGTGGAAAAACCCTTACCTGCCCTTGACCGATGCTATTTCGTCAGCACAACGGTTAACATTGTAAATATCACAATTTGTCTGGGGAGGTAAACTCTGGCTACTCGTTCCTGATCGATATTATCCCGCCGGCACAACAATTAGTGATCTAATCATCACGTTTGTTTGGGGTGGTAAAAAACTCTACGCGTGCTGGTACACTAATGTCTTATGCTTGTATCATTAGTGGGTGAAATCCTTCTTCGAATATGCACATACAAAAATTCATATATAAATTATTTCATTCTTTCATATCATGCGCTCTTATATGAAACATTTACCTCTATTTGCTGATGAATATGTACTTACTTTATCTACAAGTCATGAAATCAACTAACATATGCATATTTACTTAAATTCTAGATGTTAAATAATAATGTGACATATATATGTAATAATGTGATAGGTTTATATGTAGATCTCTACGAAAGTCATGAAATGATCTGATATCATCCTTAATTAAATAGTTATGCAGCTATATTTAACATGCACATCTATCCCGTCTATCAATATGAAAAATATATTGTTGAACTAGGCAATACATAAAATCGACTAACTTATGCACATTTAATAAAATTCTAAAGGTTAAATAATAATGTGACATATATATATATGTAATCATGTGATAAGGTAGACCTCTTCTAAAGTCATGAAATGATCTGATATCATCCTAAACTAAACTGTTATGCAACTATATTTAACATGCACATCTATCCTGTCTTACAATATGAAGACTTTATTGTTGAACTAGAGAATACATGAAGTCAAACATACAATCTGAAATAGAAATAATTATTGGAATTTAGAAAATATAATTACTTGCATTGATTAACGAGAACTTTGAAACACTTATCCTTCACTTCACTTCACCTAGTGCTTGACCTCTCTATCATTTAATTCGACCTGTTGATAAATTATAATCATTAAAATTAATTCATAAATCTTGTTGATATTCAATTAACACCACATTTAATTAATTGATTTACGCAATTAATACATAAAACATATAAATATTTACCTTATCCTTCTAGAATGTCTTGCTTCATCTGTTCCTTAATGTCGATGAAAGACACTGCTTTAATTTAACTTTTTATTAATATTGTAAACATCAAACACACACACATAAACAAATTCATTAATTAGCTTAATGAAACTTAGAATACCTTAAAGTCAGTTATCCGCAACTCTTCCTTTTCTCGCACAAGTAGATTTTATCGCTCTCCTCTCCTTAAATTTGCAACTCACTAATTTGGATCTTAATACAATTAAACTCACTAATTTGGATCTTAATACAATTAAACTTTCTGTTAACGTTACTTAAATAACATCGCTCGCTCTCTCTCTCTCTCTCTCTCTGACACACACACACACACACACACACACACACACACACACACACACACACACACACACACACACACACACACACACACACACACACACACACACACACACACACACACACACACACACACACACACACACACACACACACACACACACACACACGGTTAATGTAATTAAGTAAATAACTTTTCAAATTCACCGGTTAATGTAATTAAGTAAATAACTTTTCAAACTCACCTTAGCATGGTATCAACCCTACCCGCCTCACGCATGCGATAAATATTTATACACGGTTAATGTAATTAAGTAAATAACTTTTCAAACTCACCTTAGCATGGTATCAACCTTACCCGCCTCACGTACGCGTGCTCTCTTCCTTTACCTTCCCTTAGACTCGGTTAGCCTCGACAGAGTCGCGCACAAATTGAAGCGATTATTGCGTACGAAGAGTTTGAAAAGTTATACTATATCGATAAAATAACAATATTATTTTATACTTATACAATCGTCACAGTATCACCGTATAAAAATTATATCTATTAAGACATGTCAATATGAATATCCTTTTTCATATACGCGCACGAGTACCTTAGTGTTCCCCCACTAGTACTTTCAAGGGATGACTCCATCATAGTCAGTCATGCACATGCAAGTAGTCAACTTAAATATATCATTCATGTGCTCGTCTAATTTAATTCAGCATACTATATATAACATACATTAATGCATGATATTAATTAGCTGCAAACATTCATAACAATCTGATCAATAAAGAAAAAATGTATAAATCAGAGAAAATTTGTGCAAATATCATTATTTATTAATTCATAAAAATTGAGAAGAACCAAAATATTATTATAGATTAAAAGTACAACTACTCATATCGATCACTGATGATTCTAAGTATTCTTTTCACTTTTCTCCTATGAAAAACTTAAACTCAAACACATGAAGAATTATTATTAATATATTATATTCTAATCTAATTGTTAGAAGACACTTTGCCTTTAATTGATATATCATATAATATTAATAATTTTATTATTATCCTAATTATTATCTTCATTTAACAATTTAAGCTTAATAAATATTGTCAATATAGTTGGCTATCCTAATTTAACTTTCTAGTTAGTTTATGTAATTTCTATTATTTATATATTTTTATTAGGTTTATTTATTTATTATAAAAATTTATCATCAAGTAAAGTAATATTAAATTTATTATTAATTTATATCCTAATCATTCTTACTATAAATTTTCTTTAACTTAAAATTTGATTTAATTAGAAGTTATGATTAATAATTAATAATTTACAATATAAACCATTATTATAAAATTCCTTACTCTACGGTTTGGCCTTACCCCTTTTCACAAGCACTCCTCCCTTTTTTTTCTCGGTCGAAAGCTTCAGCTTGGAGAAATTATTACATACGGAGCACGTATGCAGTACTACATGCGGACTCCAGTAATATGCCGCTTTGTGTGCTATATCAGGTCTACCTTCCATGGAGATTATTGAAGTGGAACTGCGGAGGTTATTGAGAGCGTAATTGAGGGTTATTGTAGCATTAATTCTAATAACGCCGCAATAATCTCGTAAAAACCTCCCAATAACCTCCGCTATTACACCCTCAATAACCTCCGCTGTTACACCCTCAATAACCTCCACAGTTAGACTCCACAATAATTTCATAATAACACACCAATAACCCCCAATAATTTCCGCCCCCTGCATAACCCTCGCAATAACATTATAATAACACCCCAATAACCCCTAAATAATTTCCGCGGTTTCATTTCAATAATCTCTCAATAACCTCCACATGGCGGCATATTACTGGAAGTCCGCGCGCAGAGCTTCGTAAGTGCTCTGTATGGAATAATTTTTCCTCAGCTTGAGCTCCTCTTCCCGCGATCATTTGCAACGAATGTTTATGGCATGGTCGCGATCATTTGCACTGAAAGCTTAGGGCGTGGTCGACTTTCTTCTTCCCTTCTTCCTCTGTGCTCGGCGGTTATTGCCTGCTTGAAGCTCTCGACGTCGACACCCCCTACTTCCTCCTTCGTATGGTAGCAGCACATGCGAACCCTCAGCGCACGGGGGAGTTCCTCCTTCGGTCGCGGTTTGCTACTGACGTCGCCTCCTCTGTTTTTTCATCGACACGGTTTCCTCTGCTATGCTCAAGCCTCCCTCGCAGGTGAGTTGCACCCTTCCTTTCCCCCTCCTTTTCTCTTCCTTTCTCCTCCTTTCTTTTTCTTCTTCTGGACTTGCATTGTCTTCCTCTTTGCTTCGCTTTATAGAATGCAAGTGAACTCTGAGTTCTCCGTTATTCGATTCATCTCCCTCCTTTAATTGCTCGACTCCTCGCTCCGTTCCCTTTATGTTCATTTACTCGACCCCTCCCTTCCTCTGCCTTGATTCTTCATTTTCCCTCCCCCTTTGTAGAACCATTACAGTTACAACCAGTGCTATTGTTGTCATTGATTAGGTTGCTTGCTGATTTGCACAGTGTCAAGGTTTTGAGGCGAAAGAGAGCCATTTTCAATCACCAGAAGTAGGATTGATATAGGCATGCCATAATTCTTTCAATATCTTTCAGAATTCCTTTAATTGATGAAACCCTAAAACATTACACAAATAAAAATTAATAATTTAACAATCGAATATATACTGAATATATGCTTTTATTTGAATGTAGGAAGAAGGATATACAACATGTGTTAAGATTGATATATATGAGTGTAAAGTTGACAATCACAAAGTTTTTACACTCAAATGAAAAAAACAGTGCAATATTCTTTAGATCGAGTGAGAAAAATATTTACCCAAATGAGAAAAAGCTTAACAAACCTTTTGGTTGATGAGCACTTTATGTTTCCTCTTGAAGTTTCTTAAAAAATGATAAAACAATGAAACCTACATGATGTTGATTTTGCATTGGTTTAAGAACTCAAAACATTCATTATTATATTATAACAATAACATTCTTAACTCGTTATAGCTGTTATTTGCTTAGCTGTTCTAATAAGCTTTCTAAAATTGTAGTTGTGCTAGCTCTTTTGTCTAGCTCTTAAAGGGCAGTAAGAAAGGGATCATGAGAGCAGTAGTAGAACATAGGTTTACATGATTTTGATATTTACAACAAAAAATAGACAAGTTTATTAAGTGATTGTTGGAGGATTAGAATGAAAGGGTGGACTAAATATAATATGAACAAAATTATACAAAAAAAAAAAAATTGTGTAGTGTAAATTTGATTATTATTATATGACACAATTGAAACAAATGTAAAACAAGAGTTCATGAATTTGGCTCAACTAGGGATAAGCCGGATGATGATGGTGATGATGATATATTATCACATTGGATGTATTATTACATTTCTTTTGTAAATCCTTACCCCATGAGCTTTATTCTTTTTTACCTTAAGAGCTAATATAGAGTAATCATTATAGCATATTTTAAATACTACTGTAACCAGGGCTTTTGTTTTTTATTTATTTATCTTTTAAAACCTGTGTAGGCTTCAGTGCCTTCAACTTCAGATGGCATGAACGATGACAAACAGTTGCTAAAGAATGAGAAGGCCTTAAGACAATCTAGTGAGGATGAGGTTTCTAGCCTTAAGAGCCAAGTGACTCAGTGGAAAAGGTTAGAGGTATGGTTTTTTATTTAGTGCCTCTTTTGTTTATAATGTAGTTTCCTACACATAAGCTATAATTTGTTTAATTATTATATGGTAAATGCTGCACATTTCTTTATCAGGCAGCTGCAAATGTTGAGATTGTAAAGCTTCAAAAGAAGCTCGAGAGTGAAGCTCATCAGAAAGAAAAGCTTGAAGAAGAGATAAATATACTAAAAAATAAGCTGCTGCAGTTGAGTTTTGAAGCTGATGAGGTTGGGGTTTATCATATTCAACGCTGTTTGGATTTACTGCATATGTGAATTAGTGAATGCTTTCATCTATAACCTTTACGTGATTTTATTTTGAATTGCTCTGCATCCTTAGTTGGCAAATGCAATTTTACTCTTCCCTAAGTAGCATGCCACTGGTACCATGCTAATTTATGTTTTCTGTCTCGCTTTGTGAAATTAGACACGGAGAAGTCTTGATAGAGGTGGATCGGGTAAAGTCTTCTCTGGGTTTGATGCCTTTATGTCCCACGCTAGATCTTCTCAAATTCGAGACTCAGCAAACGGTCAAAAGGCATCTATTGCTAAACTTTCTGAGCAAGGTACCATGAAATTTTAATTACCATTCACATGATAATATCAATGATTGATTGTTGATTTTATTTGACTTTTTCCTAAGAAGCCTATTTATTTGGCAGTTGGTTTGCAAAATATTTTGTCATTGCTTGAATCAGAAGATGCAGATGTACGTATTCATGCCGTAAAAGTTGTAGCTAACCTTGCAGCTGAAGGTGATACTTTCTGATGACTGTCTTTTCCCCATTTTTTTCTTCATTTTGTTGTCTTGATTGTGTTCATATGGTTTTAGATACTATTAAGAGTCCTATGCACATGTTTTTTAATGCAAACATTTAATAGCTGAAATAATATTTCTCTAGTCCATAACGGTAAAGAATAAACGAGCTCTGAAGCATTTCGTGAGACATGGGAGCTGTTCTCGTTGATTGCTTTTAAGCTACATTTTCTGTTAGTTAAAGTACATAGCGATGTAGAGCAGAGTAAGGGATGTATATTATCCATTAGGAATGTGTTTTTTGGATGGTTTGTATTTACTGCTCGCTATAGTCTTTTCTTCTGCTGATTATGCCATTAACATGCACTGCTTGCTACTAATAACACCAAAAACATAATTGCAACTCTGAAGTAGGAGAGAACAGTGGATGCCGAGATAAGGCATAGAATTAACAGTGGCTGGAATTCTTATTTTAGAAGGCTCAGTGATTACTTATATAGATAGTTGTTTCAGGAGAGATAGAATCCTAAAATTCTTCTTTTATTAGTTGATGTTTACATCAGCAATATGAACAAGTAAAAAGGAGTTCGTCTTATATATTAATATATATGTAGAAATACTTGTTTTTGTCTTATTTCTATGTATGTAGAAAGTGTTATTGATGTGGGGCTTGAGGTTGAACCGGCCCCAACTTGTTCAAGAGGAGGCTGGACCGGCCCCTTCTCCCACTTATCATTGGGTAGGAATTATTCCCCCCGTCCCTTTTTCATTTACCACATATCCATCTTCTGTTTATATGTGTTTTTGCTATCTTAGGTTTAGTTTTGGTTTTCCATATTTCAAATTTTCTATCCAACTGGCTGTTAGCTGCTCTTCTTCCTTCTAGGGTTGTATCCAAGGGCGAGAATGTGCCCTGGTTGTAATTTTTTCGTGGTGGTAATCTTCTCCAAGGGTTCGAGAGGTGGTCCGACTATAACTCGTTCCGACTACGCCATCCTTCAAGTGTGCTACAATATTCCAATCCCGCAACTCCCTTCCTATCCTCCTCTTCTCGCGACAAGCCTAGCCGTCCTGATATCGCCACACTGCCATAACCCTCTACTCCCCCTTCTCACGGGATTCTTTCGTGAATCCACCCCACCTCTTTCGACTTCAATCCCGCTACCACCTTCCAGTCGCAGCTGTGACCCATCTCCTCCAACCACAAACTCCCTCCTCTAGCCGGCAGCTGCTTCCAGCAACCCTCCCTGTCTTTTTCCTACCACCTCCAATGCTGCACTGCCGCTATCCCGATAACAATCCACCACTTTGCCCTAGCCTTGGAGTGCTCCTTTGGGTCGTGTTGTTATTTTTCGACTGTCAGGGTCGTTGTTGTAATTATGTTAATTTTCAACAATAATATTTTTATTTCTGTTGTTGTTTGAGTTAATTTCTGTATTATTTGTCATCAGAGCTAGCTTAATCTTAGTCTTTTCCTAGGGTTTCCTAATATCCACTATAAACCAAAAATTTTATTTCTTACTTCCAAGTACCCTTTCCACTTCCCCAAATCCCAAATCCTAACTATGCCATCCAGGAGATACATGCTCGAACCTACCCGGGAAAAGTACAGCGGGAGATCCGCAGACTTCAACGGATATTGACAGACATTGAGGATGACACTTTGGAGGGATTTACTCTCGATAGTGATAGGGAAAGTCAGAGGAAAGAGAAGAGATTTTCATCCCCTTCCTTAGGCATGATTTTAGTGAAAAAGAAGAAAGGCCACGACGTTTTGGAATCTAGTATTAGAGGAGGTCTATAGAGAAGACATCATTTTGAGGACACAGATTTTTGAACAAAAGGTGAGTTTACCAGAGTTCGATGGAGGTTAGGATTCGTATGATTTTATTGAATGACTCCAATCAGTTGAGAGGATCATTGAGTATAAAGAAGTGCCAAAAGATATAAGGGTAAAACTTACAGCTATCCAATTGAGAAAGAGCGCCTTCCTGTGATTAGATAACTTACGGAGACAGGAAAAAATAGAAAGCTGTAATAAGATTACTAGGTTAGAAAAGATGAAGAAAGCGACGCAGAACAAATACCTCCCGCCCTATTATTGCTAGGATATATTTTTAGGGCTCCACCATCTGCAGCCGAGGAATCTTTCAGTAGAGGAGTTTATGACACGGTTTGATCAATTGCAGATGAGGTGTGATTTGTTCTAGCTAGAGATGCATATCATAGTTCATTTCTAAGGCTACCACCCCATTATTGCTAGGATATGTTTCTAAGGCTCCACCATTTACAGCCGAGGAATCATTCTGTAGAGGAGTTTTGACATAATTTGATAAGGTGAGGTGTGATTTGGTCTAGCCAGAGGAGCATACCATAGTTCATTATTTGGGGGGTCTAAAGCTTGCTATCAGCAATGTGGTGCAGCTGCAGCCTTATTCGTTACTTAGAGATGTTCATATCTTAGCATTGAACGTGGAGAGACAAAAGAAACATATCAAAAAGCCACCCATAGTTGTAGACACCGACAGGAGCACACTTTAAAGAGTTGAAACAGCTGATTTGGATAAGGATATAGCGATTTTCAGTGAGAAGAAATTTGAGAAAAGTAGCACGCCTGTTACAATACCCTCCAAAAAATGTTTCAAATGCCATCGATTTGGGCACATTGCCTCCAGCTGCCCGACGAGTCAAGTTGTATCTTTTACTGAGCAAGGCATCGTGGAGGAGGTTAGCGACAAGGAGAAATCAGAGGAACAGGGTGAAGTGTATCACCTGCCACAAGATGAAAGAGAGACTTGTGGTTTGATGAATCATACAGGCTGAGGATTTAGAGATCCACCATGGTTTTGCCCAATATTTTTTGCACCCGCTGCACGGTGAACAAAAATATATGTAGTCTTATCATCGATGGGGGAACAATAAGAATGTGACATCCACAGAGATGGTAGAAAAGTTGGGCATCATGACTCAGAGGCACTCCTAGTCATATTCACTGATGTGGCTGAAGATGCAAAATAGAGTTAGCATTGATTAGAGATGTCTAGTGGAGTTTTCGATCGTGAGGCAGCTACAGGTTCATGCGATGTGGTCCTTATGGGTGTTTGCTATCTTTTGTTGGGGAGATCGTGGAAGTTTGATCGAAGGAGTCCGCACGGCGAATTCAAGAACACATAGTCCTTCAACAAGGAAGAAAAACTTATCATCCTACTTCAGCGGAATTCGAGATCACCAGAGCCCTTACTAGCAGAGCAGCATCAGTGGGACCAGTTTTGGTGATGACGGGGGATGATGGGACTGAGACACAAGATTTAGACATGGGACAGACACAACGGAGGGCATTTTAGGATATTAGGGTCGATATCTTATCACCAACACCACCACTGTGTGGGAAGGTTCAGGTTAACCCCACTTTAGATCTGGTTAAGCCGACCATGGATAACTTTTGGAGTATTTAGCAGCAAAGGCCAGACACACAGACTCAGTTCAGTTCAGTAGTAAACTCCCAAAAGATTGGACCAATGTGAATGTTTGCTCGTAAGTTGGGAAAGATCCTTAGGTGCCTTGGGGGACGGTGCAATCGTCGTTGGATTATTCAAGTTGGGATTACAGACAAGGAGCAAGACGGTTCGACGAATGAAGTCGAAGCTTCCTCATCGTTGGAGACTGATGCGAGGCATAAGGCTGGACCGACCCCAATCTGTTCAACAGGAGAAGGCTCAGTTAAGCATGAGGTTGGACCGGCCTTTTTGCCCCTCTTGTCATTGAGCAGAATTATTCTCCTCTTCTTGTTCTCATTTCTCGCCTATCCATCTTCTCTATTTATATGTGTGTTTGTTGTTCTACGGTTTAGTTTTGGTCTTCTAGATTTCAGATTTTCTGTTCAGCTGGTGGTCACCGGCTCTTTTTCTTTCTAGGGCTGTATCTGAAGGCGAGAAGGCACTCCGACTGTAACTCGTCCGAGGTTGTGATCTTCTCAAGAGTTCGAGAGGTGCTTCGGTTGTAACTAGATCTGAAGGGATAGTTATTCTCGACCCACACCATCCTCCACAACTCCCTTCCACGACCACCACCACAAATCTATTGCCTCTTTGGCATCAAATCCCCCACACCCCCCCCCCTCGGCTGCAAACCCCCCCCCCCTCGGCTGCAACCCATCAGCTACCTGCTCCATTTCCGTCAAACCCAGATGTAACACACTACAATATTTCAATCCTGTGACTCCCTACCTTCTCTTTCTGCAACCAGTCGAGCCCTCTCGATATCATCACACTGTTGTAATCTCTTACTCCCCTTACATGATTTTGTCGGTAATCCACCCCGTCTCTTCCGACCCCAATCTCACTGCCACCTTCCAGTCGCACCACCCTCCCCTCAATCTCCCGCAACACGTACCCTCCAACCGCAAACTCCCTTCTCCAGTTGGCTGCTTCCAACCCTCCCTACCACCTCCAACACTTTGCTGCCGCTGTCCCAGTCACAACCCATCACTCGCCCTAGCCCTAGAGTGCTCCATTGTGACCCACCACTCGCCCTAGCCCTAGAGTGCTCCATTGTGTTGTGTTGTTATTTTTCGATTGTCAACGTCATTGTTGTAACATATTTGAATTTTTAGCTATAATATTTTGGTTTGTATTATGATTTGGGTTAACTCCGGCATCAATTATGAAGTCGGGAACATAAAACTTTTCCACTTATGTGTGTATACATATCATATCAATATTATTGCTATTAATGATTGATTTTAATGTCTGTGTACATCAAGAATTACCTATTCATTTTTTTATCTTTGCATTATTACTCATGCTAATTGATGAGTGTTTTGATTTCGCTGTTTTTTATAAGCAGAAGCTAATCAAGAGAAGATTGTTGAAGCTGGAGGCCTTAGTTCATTGCTTAGCCTTCTAAGAAGCTCAGAAGATGAAACCATACGCAGGGTAGCGGCTGGTGCAATTGCAAATCTTGCAATGAATGGTATTATTTCTATGACTTTTGGTTCATGTTGTCTAGGTTTATATTATTTATAATGTTTTATCATTAGTCATGGTCATAGACAACCTTAGAGATCCCAATGAAAATTTCTGCACTACGTTCCGACTACCATCATACACCTTATAAAATCTAAACATCCCATCTTTTCCAGAAACAAACCAAGAACTTGTAATGGCGCAAGATGGTATCAGTTTGCTATCAATCACTGCAGCTGATGCTGAGGACCCTCAAACTCTTCGCATGGTGGCTGGAGCTATTGCTAATTTATGTGGCAATGGTAAATGTGGCTTTTGTTAGAGTTAACATTAACCTGATATTTTTGCAGAGCATATTTTTTATCTGATATCTGCACGTTTTATATTGTTTCATAGCCTAAATTACTTTTTTTCAATTGACCTTGTTTGAGTAACATAGTGTTATTTTGATCCGGAGAAACCAAGCAATAATAGAAACACAAATATTATTATGCTGTTACAATTGTTCTCACTTGACAAGGAAATGCAACAACAAAAGAAGTAAACACATCTAAATGTATCCAAAGGTGGTGGTCGGTTTGGTGAGTGGACGGCAGGAGGAAGGCGGTGAGGTGGTGGATGGTTGTAGGAGGAAGAGGAAGTTGTGGGGGACTGCAACGGGGAAAGTTGGAGGTTGGTCGGCTGAAATACCTCAAGCAAAGACTGGTTGGAGGGCTGGAACAACAGCAAACAGCTAGGAGCGGTTGTTTGGGGCTGCGGTAGCTAGCGAGAATGACGGTAGCAGCGACGGGGAATGCATGGTATTACGAGACAATAAAGGGAGAGCTTTTTCGGGGTAGCAACAACGAGGGGGATGGCCGGACAACGAAGACAGGCGGTTGAAATGAATGATATCAAGGTGGGAGGTGGCTGAAATGGATGACATCAGGGTGTTGGGCAGTTGGGGTTGCAGGACATCGGAAGGGTTGTGGTACGTTGGTTCCGACAGTGGGAAAGGCAACGGTGACAACCAAGGGAGGAATGGGGAGGATGGAAATGTCGGAGATAAAAAATTCCTTGTGAACGAGATATAGATAGAGCACCATTCAATCCTTTAGACGTAGTCACCACCTCGACGAGCTATAGCAAAACACCACCTGCCTTTGGATACAACTCTACAAGAGTAAGACTTGGACGCTAACAGCTCTCCTCATAGAAACACAGTCCAAAATTTTTGTAAAACACAAAAAACATCATATTTATATACTTTGGGGAAATAGAAGTGAACAACACTTGAAATAGTTGGTAAATCCATGTAAAGGAAGTGTCGACTGATCCTTCTAGACCGGTCCAAGCCACACTCGTTCGCTGGATTTGTGATACTGTAGCAGATATCACGAAAATGTTTCTGTAAGTAGTTCCATTTGTGGTACTGTATCAGGGCAGACAACTCCTGTATCAGTATCCCAGGATTGGGGGAGCTTCAATCTCATTTATCGAATCTTCTGTCTCCTCATTGTAGTCGGGTTGACCTTGTTAACAAAGTTGCAAGTTCTCTGTAAGTCATGTCTGCAGGCATTGTCATACCGAAACACATCCTGATAGAATAAGTATCCGTCCATTTTGGGGCATAATTTGAGTTGGAGTTGCATATTGATTTAAAATTTTGACGAGCCAAATCTCGAGTAAGTAAATATATAATCTATTTTTCTCACTCATACTTGGTTGGATGTATTTGATAAATAAGTATGTCAGACGAAATCAACTCTAGAATGACATCTAGGGCAGGGTGGGCCACACTGGAGCGTAATCACTCATATGGGGTCTCTTCTTCCCCCTAAAGAATCTGGATTCCACTATAGGAATTTTTTCCCCCAAAGATCCTAAGGTGATTTCCAACTTTGTAGTTCATTCATCCCGACTGATCATTTGTCGATAAGTACACTATTGAACTGAATTTAATACTCAAATGAGTCTCAATGATCTTCCATAAGTAGCTTAAAGTATTCTCGTCTTTGAGATGTTGATTCTCTCTTAGCAGGGGCAACTCATGAGGTAGGCTATGTATCTCAAAACTCTAAATCTTCTTATTTGAGGATGTGTTTGGTACTAGCTCCTCATGACACCCTTTTGGGCATCCAATGCCAATCATGTTGTTCCTTTTAACACCTACACAAAAAGCAATCCAAGGCACCGTAAACTTGTACTTTGTATGAACGTTCATGATGTCAGGCTCATTACCATCTAGAACAACTACTACTAATTCAGCTGAGTCATGGGGTCAGCTGGAATCGCTGGTGTCCCTTCCTCCTCGATTGGAATTTGAGAGAGTCCTCTCTGAAATCTTCGTCTTTTCTCATGATTTATTTATCAACTGCTTCTTGATCAGTGAAAGAGATCATTCTCTTGGCTGCACAATCTGATTCAATATGCCCAAATCCGTGGCACTTGATGCACTTTCAGGATGAGATTGATTTCAGAATATGGATTAATTCCATCTATTCTCCACTCTGAATTAGTTTCTCCTCATGCAGGGGCTTGGATGTTCCCCTGGATGTACTCTTACTACTATATGATGTTGAGCTCTACCTGTAAGGCGTGAAAGTCATCCGATGATAGCCTCTTTACTTTTGAAGCTAGGATCTGCACTTGATGCCCTTAATGAACTACTAGATTTTGATTCTGCATCTTCCATTTCATGTCGGACTAGGTAGTGATATTGCTTTTTCCCTCGTACTTGTTAGGAAAAATTACTGCCAAAGAGTCTCCTTTTAATTTCGTTGCGGAATAGGATTACATGATTCGAGAAAATCAGAACAAAAATTTAAACACAAACACACAAATCAAAGCAACCAGAAAAACACATGAGAATTTTACGTGTGAAAACCTGAGAACGGGAAAAAATCACGAAGCCACAACACCATAAATTTATACTATGAAATTCAACAGGTTTTACAAAGAACTCACACAAGTCAGACCCAACTCTATCTATAATTCTAGCCCACCTTAGACTTAGCATAATTTTCTTCTCCACACACACGAAAAAACTTAGAAGGCTTGCACCAACAATCTTCACTCTTCGATTCGATGCAAAAAATCACGTTGAATCACTGAAGCTCACCTCTTCGACACTCCTCACATTCACTGGGATGCGTGTCAAGGAATTCAGAAAGAAGAAAATGACAAGCTCACCTATCCACGCTTAAAATTTGCTTAAAGTCAATTTTTCATCGCACCGTGTGCTTAAGTGCCCAAACTTGGTGTTTAGACGCCAACTGCTTTGTATCGGCGCTCCATAATAGGTGTCATTGGATTGGCGCCCATGCACCGATCTCTCGAGAATAAGAGTAGCACCCGCTCTATAACGGTTGCATTTGCGCTCAAAGCCAACGCCTAGGCGTCGCCTCCTCTATTCGAGCAGCATCTAGGTGGGCGTTTAAGGCCCACAACCCGACGCATATCACCCAACACCAGTCCTTTATTGTTTTCATCATTTTTCACTTTTTATTTTTTTTAGGAGTCAGTTTGTTTTGATTTTTTTCTCCTTTTATTTTTTTTAGAAGTCGCGAGTTTGTCTTATTGTCATATAATACTCGCTTTCGAATAAATATCTCTTCTAAATCATATAAATGCTTTAGAGAAGGAAGAAACTAGACAACAATGACACACGGTAAATGAGAAACAAGAGAAAAAATGTGGAGAGTTTATGCACGACAAACCCAGTGTGATTGGTCAAGAATGCTCATTCGAACATAGTCGGACAGAAACACCTTAAGCCAAATATCCATGAAAGTGAACCTGCATAGGCTACCCAAACCAAAGAACCAAATTTATAAATTTGTTCTATTGTCAAGAGCGCTCACAAATAGACATATCCCATTTTTTTTATTACATGTTGGAGGTTGCCCCAAAAATACTCTCGATCATAGGAGTACTGCTTGCAGTTGAGTGGTGACTAGCAAGGGTGTCACAAAGAATGGTTTGTTTCAGACTCAGAGAAAAAGAGTGTTGTCTTCCCACTTTTTTTTGCTTGCATTCTTCATAAAGGGACTGTCGTCTGTACCATCACGATTCTCCTTATAACTTGAGGTGAAGACAACCGCCGTCTCCCCCTGAGGGCTACCCTGAGGATTACCCACCAATAAAAGCAAACTTGAATTTGTCAGTCAAGGCTGAAATTTCTGACTCAGATAAAAAGAGTGCTGTATTCCCACTTTTCTTGCTTTCATTCTTAATAAATGGACAGTCACATGTTCCATCACTATTCTCCTTATAACTTGAGGGGAAGACAACCGTCGTCTCCCCCTGAGGATTACCCACCACGTGGGCAAAGGGGGTTTTGTCAGGTTCAACCGAAGAAGTAAGCTCCATCACAGCAAGGAGAAGCCCTACATGTCTGGTAGAGGGTAAAAAAGACAAGATGCAGAGGTTGGGGCGAACTTGCGCAGAAGACAGAAAACCGCAATAACGAATGCACAGAGATGAAGTCGCAGCTCGACGAACAAACCACAGCTCGACGAGGCAGAGGCGAAACCGTAGCAGGAAGACACCGAAGCCCTTCGTTGTTGGGCACAAAAGAGAAGAGGACGATTGCGAATGACGAGCGCAAAGTTCTTCGTAGTTGTCGCCGAGCATGAGAGAATGGATTGAAGGCCAAATCAAACCAGGGTTTCACCTTGGAAGAGAAGGGGATCTCTACGTCGGACGAGCTATAACTAGAACACAACTTGATACCTTGGAAGAGAAGGAGATCTCTGCGTTAGACGAGCTATAACTAGAGCTCTCCCTGCCTTTGGATGCAAAACCTGGGCGCTTACGATTGTCGTGACAGAAATTCAATCCAAAAACTCTCTTAATAAATGAAAAAACAACATATCTATAGACTTCGGATAAAAAAAGAGTGGAGCTGACTCCCAATTGGAGGTAAATCCACATAAAGGAAGTGTTGACCGGCCCTCCTGAAACGGTCCAAGCTGCACTCACCTGCAGGAATTCGGGGTACTGTGGAAGATACCATGGAACGACTCTGGAAAGTTACACTTACGATACTGTAGCAGGTGGACTGCTCCTGCGTCAAGTTGAATTCCTCAATTTTCAGAATGTTTGGCGTGAGTTTTATCTTATTTTTCTGGGATACTATATCAATAAGCATGGTCTGGTCATCTAGTTTATCTGTTCACATTTTGTCATTGTTATTCTTTGGCCCTCATGTTATTTTTTCTGTCAATCGTGGAATGCAAATGCTTTAATGTTTTGCCTGATGCATATTTTGCAAAACAAATGTGCATTGCCTGCCATTATGCTTTTCACGCAGCATGAAAATTCATTTTGGAAATTGTAATGTGGAGTGACTTCATCATGTAACTATTTGATTGTATAGATTTTTTATTTTTATTTTATTTTTGATACTTACGAGAATGATATGCTCAATTTTTTCTTGATTTGTGCCTAGACGCACATTCTGAAATAGCAATATGTATTTGCATGGCTTTTTGCAGCTAAAATAATTTAGTTTATGATAAATTAAAATTGTTCATTGATTTTCAGATGATTCTCTTTTTAAATTTAAAAAGAAAATCATCTAATCATTGTTTAATTATGGAAAGTAAAACCGAAAATGTATCTTCAAAAGCTTCTTTATTCATGAACTACGATACTAATGGGTGCACTGTAAGGGGAATCAATGTACAATATTAATTTTTCTTTATGCTTTTGGTTTCTTGGTATTCTTAGCTGATTGGTGGGCTTGTATTTATTATGGAAGCCTTTAAAAGCGTTGACATAAAATTTTTTAATACTGAGGTCACTAAAAAAAATTGTTTTTTTGTGCTCTCCTTGCTTGAGAAGAGAGGAGAAATACAAATTATAAATCTATTGTGTCGAGCTTTTTCTGTTTGGAAATCCAAATTTTGGGCGACGTTTTGCCTAGCTTCCTAAAACATCCCGCTAGACTTCATTATTTAGTGAAATCAACACTCCTTGTTTGGTGGGTTTGGCAATATGCAAATAGGCTCTAAGCCGTTGAGAAGAATGAATATCGGTGTGTAATTCTATGTGCTCTGCTTCTGTAGTATTGAGGTCAACTGGCTATGAGGATAATGTCTTTTATCTTTTTTTGGTGTCCTCCTACTCGTCTTTATATGAATCATGGAATGCAATATTTCATTGGTGCTTATTATGCTTGAAGAATATAATTGATTCTAATCTCTATTGATGTTGGAGACTTTTATAAAATGCTGGAGACCCACACAAGTAAATCTCTTGTTAAATGCAGTATGTCATTTTTGTTGAACATTTAGATATAAATCTATAATCAATTAGAATAATCAAATGTCAATGGAATATATATGTTAATTCCCATATTTTAATATGGAGAAATGTTGTAGTTATTTTTTCTTATGGTTTGAACAGATAGACTTCAGACAAGGCTCAGAGCTGAGGGTGGCATTAAAGCACTTCTTGGGATGGTGAGATGTGGGCATCCTGATGTTCTCGCTCAAGTTGCTCGTGGAATTGCAAACTTTGCAAAATGCGAGTCTAGAGCTTCTATGCAAGGTGGAAACATTCTAACTTGTTTTTTCTTCCTTTTGTCATGATTTTTTATGCTATTTCTCACGTATGGCCATTGTTTTGTCAAGGAAATATCGTTGTTCCATTTGTTTGCTTGTTAAATAATTCTAATTCAAAATAAGTGTCACCTTGTTATTTTACCTTAATTAGTAACTTTAATTTTCATTGCTCTGTCATGTGAATAATACTTTCACTCTTGTAAAAAGAAATATCAATAAAGTTCTTAAGAAATTCTCTATTACTTTATTTTTTACATAGTATCACAGAGAGGTTTGGGTTTTTCTTCAATTTTTTGTCATTTTTTTTAAGGTTAGTGTTTTTCACATACAACCGTATTCCTCTTTTCAGATTCTCCTTTTATTTTTTTTGTTTGGGTTCTTTGACTTCCCTTCAAAAGTATCGATCATGCTCAATAATGAAAATTAGACAAGGAGGAACTTCAGGGATTTCAAACATCTTTTCGTTTGAACATAAAAAATTAACTAAAATAATTCCAAATATGAAGATCTTCTGAAAGAGAAGGAAAATATCCAACTCCTTGCAGTTATTTGTTGGAAGACTAATTGATCAAAGCTTATACTTTGGGAAAAAGCAAATTCTATGATCATGACATAATTGTGGAATGTGATGTTCATGTTTCTCTTCATGCTACTCGAAGGTGAAAGACGTTGAGCTCATCTATCATGTCAAGATAAAGCTCAGTACTATCAAACATGATAACCTATTTTTCGTTGATTGCTTTAGTTCAATGAATGTTTAGTGTTTTGACTTGGACTACCATCAAGTTCTCGAAATGCCATATTATGAGGATGGAATAATACTAAAATTATTTTTAAAATAAAAGAGGATATTTGTACTCTTGGTTGGACTCAACAATGAAACCAAATTCAGATCCAAATTTTAAGCAAAGAAACTCTTTCTTCTCTGAACTTTTTCTCTGAATGAAGTATTATCTTTGGTACTAGTTAAAGAAGCAAGAAAGAAAATAATGATCAATAGTCCCTAGGCGTGTAAACGAGCCGAACACGAGCTAGCGAGCCTAGGCTCAATTCGTGTTTGACTCCTTTATATTTCAAGCTCAAAAAGTGTGTTCGTGTTCGACTCGTTTGCTTAGCGAGCCGAACACGAGTCGTTCATGAACAAAGAGTTGTTTTGACAACCCTAATCATGTAGTCATAAGATGTTAAAGATTAGGGCAAGATTTAAAAGTTATTGTTATATTAAAACAACATTTGAATCTAATTTAATAATTTTATTCTATTTTTTTAATTAATACTTTTAATTAATTATAAGTCTTTGTAGCCTTGTAGTCAATTTAATTTTTTAAACAATTTAATTTTTTAAAAATACTTTTAAAAATACTACTCATCAATATATATATATATACATACATACATATATATTTTTAAAAAGTCCAAGACAAATTTATTGAAGAGAAAATGGTACAGATATGTTGTATGAGTGGACCCACATAGACACGGAACTCATACGATACAACACCACAAAAAGAAAAGAAAAAAAAAAACTTAAAACCCAAAAGTAGATGGTACATATACGATCAACCAGGTCGACCCACTTTAGTTCTGCCTTTGTTTCTAGTTCTCGGAAAGGAACCAGCTAACAGATTGGTGAGGTGTGTACCTCTGCCCAAACGAGCCAGAGTATCATCCATTAGATTCCTTAGCTCAAGTAGATCTCTATTCCTCTTCTTTCTCCTGGAAGTGTAGATCTGTCATTCCTCATCCTAATATTGTTGCTCATTCGGATGAAGTGGTACTGTTGCAGTAGAAAGATTGTCACAGTTGTGCTCACAAGTGTATGTGGATAAGCGTTGTCGCCTCTACCCCTCATACTTCTTGAAGATGGGGAGCTGCAAGGTTCTCCTGATTATCAGTCCGTGTAGGTAGGGGTTCTTCATTATTATTTTCTATAGGGTTTGAAAGTTTAGGTTGCTTAACAGGATCTTCCAGCTTCTCATCGATCGCAAAAACAGTATTTTCATGGGGAGAGTCCACAGGGGCAATAGAATTAGACACCAAATCCTGTCTTGTTGTAGTTTTCTTTCCAGGTGGAACATATATATCCTTAGACCCATTCTTATTCACTTGATCTTTAGATTTCAAATTATGATGAAGTTTATGACATTTATTAAGGGTATGCCCAAACATCTTATAATGAGAACAATAAGAAAGTTCATGCTCTATGACGATTTGTTGTCAATATCCATTATCTGTGGTGCCCAACCAAATTTCAATAACATCATACAAAGTAATATCTCTTTCCACAAGAATTCTGGCCACAGAAAGTCTGGTAAGGTTGAAAGTTGGTAGATCTAGCTTCATAGGGTCCCCAAGTATGACATCAATAGAGTAGAAAACCTGATGATGAAACAAATTTGATATCAGATAGACTAAACCATACTGGTACAGTAAGAGATTCATGATTGTGGTCAAAATCAGGAAACTACTTGAGTAGCTTCATTGGTTTGTCAGCAATGTTCATATATTTTTATGAGAAAATTCAAGTGTAGTCTTCAGGCATGGTTAACTGAATCAAAACATGTCTTCCATCCATGAGCCCCACTTTCCACTTTCCTGTTAATTTGAGGTCATCAAAACTTTTCCTGATAACTTCTTTTCCTGATAACTTCCATAGGTGGGTGTCCCCACTGAAATTTCCCAATAAGAACAAACTTGAATTTGTCAATCAAGGTTGAAATTTCTGACTCAAAGAAAAAGAGTGTTGCATTCTCACTTTTTCTGCTTGCATTCTTAATAAAGGAATAATCTCCTGTACCATTACGATTCTCCTTATAACTCAAGTGGAAGACAATCGCCATCTCCCCCTGAGGATTGCCTACCAATAAGAGCAAATTTGAATTTGTCAGTCAATGTTGAAATTTCTGACTCAGAGAAAAAGAGTGTTGTCTTCTCACTTTTCCTGCTTACATTCTTAATGAAGGGACAATCACTGTACCATCACGATTCTTCTTATAACTTGAGGGGAAGACAATCGTTGTCTCCCCCTGAGAATAACTCACCACGTGGGCAAATGAGGTTTTGTCAGGTTCAACCGAAGAAGAAGGAAGCTCCATCACAACAAGGAGAAGTCCTGCAAGTTGGGCAGAGGGCAAAAAAGACAAGCCAAAGAGGTTAGGGCGAAGCTGCACAGAAGGCAGGAAACCGCAATGACGAATGCGCAGAGATGAAGTCTCAGCTTGACGAACAAACCGCAGCTCGACGAGGCAGAGGCGAAATCGCAGCAGAAAGACGAAACCGCAACTCGACAGACGAAACCACAACAAGAAGACACTGAAGGCCGAATCAGAGCGAAAGAGAAGAGGACGATCGTGAAGGACGAGCACAAAGTCCTTCGTAGTCGTCGTCGAGCACGAGTGAATGGTTGAAGGCCGAATCAAACCAGGGTTTCGCCATCGGACGAAACCCTAGCATAGCAGATCGCCACCGACGTCATCAACAAAAAGAAAAAAAAAGAAAAAAAAAAATATTATTTCGAGTCAAAACGAGTCGAACACGAACGATCAAATCTTTGTTCGTGTTCGGCTCGTTAACTTAACAAACGAGTTGAACACGAGTTGTTCACAAACGAGCCATTTTTGTCAAAGTTTTGAGAAAAATCGGTTGAATTCTGAATATGTTCGATGCCTTTTTTAACTTTGCTTTCATTCCATTAAATAATAATCTTACAATCTATTTTATGTACAAAATAAAGTGCATAATATATTTGAAGTAACTTAATAATATATATTCCTAATCTAAATATTCAACTAAAAGGGAAATAAATCATAATAAAGATATTGAAAATAATTTAAATAAGGAAGCTTCTAATGAAGCATAATTTAAATAAGGAAGCTTCTAATTATAGAAAACTCCCATTTTACCTGCTTGATTTCTGTCTTTCCTGGTTGACAATTTTGACAGCCCTAATAGATATGCCCTTAAGACACCTATTATGAAGTTTTTTTTAATACCAAAGGTAAGTGGCTTCTGCCATTGAACTTTCTAAAAATATAAAAAATAAAATAAAATCCTTCTTTGAACACAATCTTTAGTACAACTACAATAAAAAGAAACATCATCCTAAAATTCATTGTAGAAGCTATATGAAAAGCTCTAAGATTATAGAAGAAATAATGACAAAAATAAAAAAAGGATGGGCTTGTGCTTGATTAGCGTAGTCAAAAGAATTTAACTCTGAAGTAATTGAGAAATTTTGGGGTTTTCTGAATTCTTTTGAATAACTATTCTAGTTTTTCTCTCTTGCTCACAATGATATGATTTTTAATTCTTATATTTTTAGTATCCAAATAGTTATTCCCTTTCTTGAGTCATATAGGGGTCATTGACCACTTGATGAACCCTACCAATATATTTTGAATATACCAATATTTTCTCAGCAATTTAAAAATAAAGATTGCAGATTGATCCATAACAAATATTGTAGGACAATGAGACATCTTAATTTTTTTCATTTTGACTCTGAATATAGTCGACAATCAGTATAAAATTTGTCAAAAAAACATGACATGAATCCTTTAAATTCTTGATGCATTGGAGAAAAATGTTTCATGTAGACGACCCCACTCAGTGGGATAAAGGCTTGTTATTGACTCTTAATAAAATATTTGCTTGTTTCACACATTACCATTAACATTTTATCTATTTGCAAATTTATCAAAGATCATAACAGTAATATCATTTTTTTTTACCAATCATTGTGTTTTTCAAGATATCGCTATGAGAAAGATTGATTAACTAGAGAAATAATGGGTTTTATTTTTTGAGGACTGAGATCAACTTTCATGCTCCTTCACCTCACACCACCGATATTATCTAAACACCATTATAGGTTAGGTTTCTTTTCTTTTAAAATCATTAGCATTTGTTTTCTTCTTTTTTCATCAATATAAACATTAAAAATTTTCTATGTGAAACTTATGAAATTGTTAACCATCATTGTGTTTC